CTGATAGTTCGGCGCGTCGTGGTTATTCGGAGAAGCAAGGTCTACACGGATCCGCCACTGTTCCTGTTCCAGTTCCATGCTTCCCTGTTGTTGCAAGATAGCAGGATCTATGGACGATTCATCGCTAGTGACGGGTGTAGCCGGCTGCTGGAAGGACCATGGGTTGTGATGAAGAGCGTTTGGGCCAATGATGTTGCCACCAAACCCAAAACCTTGGGTACTGGCATGTTCATGCAGCACAGACTGGTCGCCGTGTCCAACGTTCGAAGGCCCGGGGTTTTGCCGCCCGACATTGAAAGGCCGCCGACGTCGCTCGTGTGGGCTCATTTTGCTATCCGCCTTCCTTGAGGATGTGGCCGTTCAGGAGAATGATGCAAGGGAACGTTCTCAGATCTATGTGGGCTTCTATCTGTCGCCGATATAAGGTACCAATAGGCGAAGTGGTTTGCGTTGCTGGACGTCCTTATGCAAGGAACGGCGCGTTGAGATGCGGCCCAGAAGCCAATGTGACGTCCAAGTCGCCTGGCTGAGCTCCGAGGGAGACGATGCGAAGGGTACAGATATGCTGGTTCGCGCACGATCGGATATGCAGCAGCAAGGAAACGACAGCTGATGGAGCACGTCCGGTGGTGCCGATGTCGTAATGCTGGGCGTTACAGCCTTGTCCGCCTCACGTCGCCTGACTTCTGAACTCGATGCACGGCGGTGATATATTCGAGTCAAGGGAGAAGATGTCGAAGAAGAGCGAAGAAAAGCGAAGGTTGTTTCGTGTTGCGCACGCCGCCTCGAGGGTGTGGTTGTTGAGACTGGGGAGTCTAGCAAGTGTACCAAGCGACCAGAGAAGACGACCACGGAGAAGCCCTTGGTGACAATTTGTTTCTTCGAAATGTCTTGTGTGTGTTGATCGTTCACCTCTTCATCTCAAAGCCGAGAATGTCTTGTATCGATGTGGACGTCTGGTTGCCGCCGCCTTTGTCTTGGAATCAAGTATGATCGGTGGGTATGGCGAACGAATCGTGCGGGTATGCAATCGAGCGAAAGTACGCAGAAGGATGAGGAGGAAAAGCAGGAGGAGGTGGTGAATGTGTTGTTGGTCGTGGCGGGCGACCTTCGACGGGGCGTCGGTGCTATGTACTGAAGTCTCGTGCCCTTTGGAGGACTTTGGCGACCGGGGTGCTATACTGTTAGCTCAGACGTACGCTACGTGGAGGCACCAGATGTTATGTCGCTACTGTCAAGGGCGTAAACCATCTCTAGTCGACGATACAGTCCCTCGGTGGCTTGGTCTGTCTGCGCAATACCACGCAATCCGCCGACGACTTGAAAGTGGGCCCGACATTCGCTGGCACTCTTTTGCCTACTGCCTCTTCCCGAGAAGCAGGAACGGCGCTGCGTTAGCGTCAGTATCTATCCCTGGACGCTACCAGCAACAACATGCACTCCATTGCCGCAAGTTGATCAGAGGCGAAAGAGATGACGGTGAGTGGCTGCGAGGCTCGGAGTTTTCTCCATCGTATCGGAGCTCAGCGGGCTCAGTGTCGAAAGAGGGCGCCTTTCGCAGCCGTGTGCGCAAGGCATGTGCATCCGAATGATAAAAGCAGCGAATGCGATGTTACTGGTGCAAGCAGAGGCCTTGACAAGGCCGACAGCTGGGCTAAACCGACGGTACGCAAGGACCGAATTTACAGCATGGGGATCGTGGCCTTTTTGATCCGAATCGATCATCGGCCATCATCCGGCGCCAATATGTAAAGGGTGTGAATGCGCATATGGCTTGCAGCAGCTCGTCGTCTATACACATCCTTGATGTGGGGCGCATGAGCCCGATACCGATGGGCTCTACATGCTCAAGTACCATTTGGCGCGTTGATGCCGACACCACGGGGAAGGCAACAAAAGTCGACAGCATCAATCGCGTATATTCGGTTATCCTGGGAACTGTGTGCAGCTCACATTACCATGAAACACATCTTCAGTATCAATTGAGCTTGCAGCCGATGATGAGGATGGGTTGCGGATACCAACAAGCGCCATTGGCTTGACACGGCTCAGGGTTGTTCAGCCCACAACACACCGCACCACATCTCTCAATCGAGCACGCTTTTCGCGCGACCTGCGTAACCTAAATTTCACACACAATCGTCTGGGGCAGAGTCCTCAACGAGGATGGTGGTCCGCAAATTCAGCAGCGCATACCATTACACCAAGCCTTCGAGTCCAGACAAAACTGTACATTCGAGGCAATGAGCGCCTGTGCGCAGCTGTGACCTTGCGCATCGCTGAGTGCCGGACGATTGGGCCACCAACGACTTCCTCCCATGGGCGGATGCACCTGAGGTGTCACGACATCGAGCTGGCACGGAGCGCTTGGCGAATATCATGGAAATGTGGTAAAATCAACCGAAGAAAAGGGTGAATTAGCCGTCAACCCAAGACTGCGTCTCTTCCATTCAAGGCTCCTCCCAACGACCGTACAGCTTGGGCTACGCCAATGAGGTTCTGTTCCAGAACAGACTGTCGCTTCTGCGAACTGCGCGTTGGTCTAACAAGCGAAAAAGCAAAGGTGGGCGCCTCAACCCCGCACAGCTGCGTGTCTGCAGAAGGAGTGCGTGTCCCATCGCGGCAGCCGCCAGATGGGAAATGAGATTAATCCTTCGATAGCGCGAAATTTTGGCCCCACTATCCAGGTATCGGCACGTGATTGAGGCTCTGCGAACGCGCGGATAGCATCACCACGGGTTTAGCGAAGGGTTTCGGCACCCACATGCCGTTGGAATTCTATGGACTAGCGGGCCGGTACGACACGGCTTCGGTACGACTGGAAATAGATCGTCCGGTGTCTGTTGCTTTACGCCGCGCATTGGCAACCCAGCTAGTGCCCACGGCGTGGTGCCAGACGGGCATCCTCGCTTTTGCCGCATTAGGGTACGAAGCCTTGCTGTCCTCGTCGGGGTGCTGGCGCATAGCATCCGGGCCGTCATGCAGCCCATACCATGACATGGCTATCACAGCCCCGGAGAGATCACCATTGTCGTCCTTCAGTCTTTGATACGACGGCTTCCCGCATAGCTTGCCAGCGTACTAAAGTAGTCTACTGAAATGAGTCAAAGGGATTCTTTTATCACACTGGAGGAATTCAGGTTCCATGTCTCCGGAAATATGGTTTGCATAGCCCCTGCTAACGGACGACGCCCGTTCAGATGGGAAGGCGGACACAGGGCAGTATCGCTGCTGCTCCGGAGAGACTCGTAGTCACTTTCGCTTCGAGATCACTTGCCATATCGGTGGTAGCTTCTACTGCGAGACGAAGGAATACGCCCCGTCCCAGGGAGTTCAGCTTTGCAGGGGCTCGCTCTTTATCCGCTGCAGATCACCAGAATCACCGTCGTGTATACCGGACCCAAGACTGGAGGTGACATTGACTAGCCGGGATGATGGTGCTATGTCATACCTCTCCCTGCTGCTACGCAAAGTCGCTTGATGAGAAAAAAAGGAGGATTTATCTCCGAACTGTCCCTGTCAGATGCAGAAGCTCTCTGTCTGCATGGCAATCGGTACAGGGATCTGTCACTCACCGAGGTTCGTGACGAAGCGCCCTAACAGTCAGCTCGCATATGCTATGATCGGCGTTCGTCTTCCTTCTACGGCGATCCAGGACACATCACGCGTGCTCGTAGCATCGACTCTATGACTCCGCCTACACAGCGGTGAACGCTTCACCTGTGGCATATACGTACGATCCGTTATGGTGATCGCCGGTGATTTGGAAGCGGTGGATGCGTTGGCATCAGAAGTACGAAACACGACAGTTATTTTGGTACTCATCTGACGCTTCCCAGAACCATGGACTGGGAAACATGTCAGACTCAAGGGACGGCTTAGGCCTTGCCCACAAGCGCATCACGCCATGGAACATTTACGCCCGCTACTGTATAGCTGAGCCTTTGCGCACTGGATGCCGGGCCGTCTAAACACAAATCACCGGGCAGACTGGGGAAAGATTAGATGCCAGCAAGTCACATCCCTATACAAACCCTGCAACAGTGTATACACTGTTCATGTGATCTGCCGTTTCGCGCCCTCTCAGCCCCTCCGGATACAACGGCACCGCGGCGTAAAGTGGCAAATGGCAGTCATATGATGCGTCACGAGCAAGGGAAGATGTCAGCATGAAGAAGCTTTGTCAATTCACTGGCTTTGCAGGGTTCATGGGGCTCAATGGGCGAGGCCTGCAAGCGCCGCCACGTGGGCGTGCGGGCGTTATCCACCTTGAGTGGTGAGGATTAATGCTGCTTTAACACCCGCATCTGCACCACCCGTTATGGCAGACGGGAGGCCTAATCGAGCTCGGACTACCCTCGTTGTTGGCTCTAACCACACTGGTCAAATCGCAGAGCCGCATTCCCTTTCCGTCGTCATCTCCGTTATCTAACTCGGCCTTCCCCGGATCGTGGAATATGGGGCCTGTGGAGCCTGAGATGCTCCTCCCTGGCATGTTAGACTGTGATGTCACGGTCACCTGATCGAAGATGAGGTACAGCCTGAGTTACAGTATGATCATTATACTTCTAGCTATGAGGTTGAAGACGCGCATTCGCGATAGAATACATTAAGAGCGCTCCAGCGCAGTAAGAGAACAACCAGTGCGCCCGAAAGAGACGAAGCTGCAAGCAGCTATGCACACCACCAGGGCGAGAGAGACGACCAGCTCTCGATCTGCACTGCAAGACATTAGTCACTGCAGTCGATCATTGTCACTGCTGTTGGCACAGCTACTTCGTTCGCTTCTTCGGCATCGCGTCCGGAATACGATGCTTCTTCCACTCGTGTTTGCGGGTCGCATCGGTCCGCTTGTAAGCCTTTGGGCAAACACGGCAGGCCAATCCGACTACGACAGCAAATTGATTATGGAAGGCAAGATTATGTCGTCGCAGGTTGCCTTTTCGATACCTGTAATCCAGTCAATACGTGTGCATGAGCGAGTTGCGAGAGGGCGAGGCCTACCTGCCACTAAACGTCTTATCGCACTTTTTGCAGTGCTCTAGCGGAAAACCGATTTCGCTTTGTTCCAGCCGCTCGCAGATCTGAGGATATTGATGGTCGTCAAGTTCAACGAAGTTGGTCGACGACCCCTGGCTTCGTCCGAAGGGTTGGGCGATTTGCGGGGATTCCGGTGGGTTAGCTGTTGATTTCTGGTAGTTGATGTGTCCACCCTCAGCAACATCTTGATCGTATCCGCCACGAAATCGCCAACCCTGATGATCGGAGCATTCATAGGTACCGTAGCGGATACCAGTGGCGCCATGCCACTGCGAACGCAACTCCGGCAAAGACTGTCCTAGTGCAGGTGGTGACTGGATACCGGGAACATGCGATTCATGGTTTGCAAAACTAAACGGTACCGAAGATCCCGCTGGGTCATCTTGTTGCCCATCAAGACCCTTTGCTGGTTGCTGCGGGATTCCTCGGAAAGACTCCACGTGATTCGCTTCAAACGAAGCGTGGTCCCAGTCTGTGTCCATCCGAAACGACCTAGGCAAATCGAAATCGTTGGGTGGGAAACTTTCAAGAGGCGATACGGTGCTAGCGGGGCGATTGGCATCCGAATAGAACTGGGCGGAGCAAATGCCGTTGACGTTGGGTGTGACAGGCGATACGGGCGACGGCGACGACTTGCGAGATTGCCGTCCGCTGGTCATGCTGGGCACTGAGACAGACTGGTACTGGGTGTTCAAAGTCCACAGTAACATTGGCTCGTCGGCAGTTGTGGGCGAGCGTCCCACGGGAGTCGCACCGCGCTCGTCGATCTCATCCAGATCTAAGAACGACGCTTGACTCGTGTCAGACTCGAGAGAGCGGTCCTGGGTTCGCTCCATGAGAACTTCCAGCTCAGCGAAGACATCGTCTCCTTCAAGCTCTGGAGCAAGCATAAGCCTATCTGAAAGTTCGTGGAGCGGCATTGCTGGAAGCTCATAGCCGTACGGATATCCATAAGCTGGTGGAGCCTCGTCGTGAACAGCTTCCGCATATTGTTGGGGATCCATCCGGTAAGTTCGTATTGAGACCCGGCAGAGCTTTCGTAAGAGCGTTCGGCACCTGGAGACTGTGCTGCTACTAGAGTCTCTTGGATGACTTGGGATTGAGAAGCTTTTGGCGTCGTCGACTGGCACAGCGGTGGTAGAGCGGCTGCAAGCACATGAACTTGTGCTTGGCGTCGTTGTTTTGTCGGCCAAGCTACGCCGAGATGTCGAGATGCTGGAACTCAATCAGTACAGTGCACTTCAGCTGGAACCATAGCCACTGATGGGATCTTGGACTCACGTACGTAATGCTCCAACGACGTTTTGCCTCGATGTGAATGAGCATATTCGGAAAGCGGGGGTGATCTCGAAAATATGTGGCAAAGAGCATCCGCGATACTGAAGGACTTTATTGAGCCCAATTGCATACAGACGTCATGGCCAGGAGAAAGTATGTAGGTTTCTGAGGACTGCTGACTGGCAACAGGACCGCGCGTTGAGGACTGGCGGCGCGACGCATGTCTCCCCCGGAAAGCTCGATGCCAGCGGAAGGGCCTCTAGCAGTCCGATACTCCATACTGCTGGCAGAGGTCTCGATCCCGAAAGATCAAAAGCAGGCGAGAAGTTCGGAGGACTCTGCATCGAACTAAGAAGCCCTGTTTTTTAACGTATGTGCGCCAGCATGTAGACAACTCGAGCAACGGCCAAGACTGGAGCGCGCCCTAGGTCCGATGTTGTCGACGTCGAGGGATTGGATACAGATGAAACGTTCATCTATTTTCGTTGCCTGAGGTCCTTCGATGTCTCGGGCCTTCAAGTGGGCGAAGGCCCATTGGCTGCGGCGACAAGCCTGCGATGGCAAGAAAGCAGGCGACGCCAAGTGTATGGTGCATGCGTTGATGCCAATGTGGAGGAAAAGACGTCGGTCATAGTCGAAAAAGGGTTCGCCCTCACCGCAATCCAGAATAAGAGACGGGCAACGAGGATGGCGCTAAAGTTCGAGAAGTGAAGCGGGGCTATCCCTGGACACCGGCGGCGAGCGATAGAGTGTGTATCCCGGAAGAAGTGTGCCGGCTACTTTGACAAGTTTTTCGCAGGCGGATTCGGAAGTCCAGGAGGAATACGCTGTGCTGTGAGCCAATTTTTGCGGGCGGCGTGGGGGTGAATTGGTCGTCGAAAGTGTATCGGGAATGATGCGGCTCTGTTGTGAGAACGACGGAGGTCACTTTCGAAATTCTGGAAGCGCGAACTTCGTTAAGAAAGTCAGAGGCATAGCTTCAGATATATCCATCTGATGCTCCGCCTTCGAAACTATTCTCTTTCAACAACACAGCCGCAGAGATGGGGCCGACGGAAAGCCAGCTCAAAGGATGTACTACAGCCAGGAACTGCCAGAGTCTGCCTTGGGATGCGCCTCGGGGGAGTGAGTCTGAGCCACATTGTGGGTGCTGTATCGACCACTGACCGGTGAACTTGCGTGGGCTTCGATAATCACCAGACGAGTGTGGATTCTCAACAGATCTCAGACATCGGGAGTACGTACTCACGCCCAGTCGCCAACTACGCATGCGCATCTGGCCCCAGCGGACCAGCATCTTTCCTATGCACGCACCGTGGGGGCAGCTCAAGGGGCCAGTCATCGAGGCGGCGCTTCACGAAACCGCGGTCTGCCCTTTGAAGCGACACGTCGTGCTCGACACCAAGCGAGGACAGCTGGACCAAAGGGCCAGGACCCGTTACCGCGAGTCAGCTAGAAGAAGGCAGATGGCGCGAGCCAACCCCTCCAGTTGCATTAGCCGCACGTTAGCTGTACTTCCCCTTCCACTTGCAGGAGCCCCAGCCCGAATCGAGCTTCAGCCCTAACGTCATCTAGACAATGCTCAAGTGGCATCTTACGTTTGTTGCGGGCGGCCTCCAGATGTCCTCCGTTGCTGCCCGACTGCAGACTCTTAGCGCTGGGCGTCCTCCGACGCGTAAAGTCCTCCAAATCGAACGTTGAAGGAAAGCTCGCAAACCATGCCGGATTGAAGACGAAATCGCGAGTGCTCGACGTTGGCCTGTCAAAAGGCGGGGGAACCCGTGCACACGTTTGACACGCGCTAGTACGATCGCTCCGTGCACGTGCCAAGATCACGTCACTTCCCGCAACCGACGGCCACAGCAACGAATCTCAACAAACAATGCCATTGTGCGGACATACTGCGCGATAAGCCAAAAATGCCTTACCTGGCTGACGAGTTGATCAGAGCTCGGCATCACCCAAAAAGACTAATGCAGCAGCACCTTCGACCCCGATATGGGCTGGCCTACCGTATAGCGTACAACATCTGACCGGCATGGCCACTAACGAAGCTCCCGTCGCCTTGCAAGAACCGCCCGTGCCAACGCTGCAGGATGCCCAGCGATCAGGCTAGGATGTTTCTTCAAGCAAGGTCCAGCCCATCAGACCGCCTAAGCCCCGCTGGTGCAACTCCAGCTAGAGCCGCATGAGCTGGGTTTTGGTTTGTAGCCTACGCCTCGTCCTGATGCACCGTCCTCCCACCTTATCATCCGCATCGCAGCACCCACTGTGCCCTTCCTGAGCCCTCCGTGCGGCCCCCTCGAAGTGCCAATGACTGGTGTTTTGCGCCGCACGACAATCTTCCCGGCCAGCATTAAGCGCCCACGACATGTGTGCCCTTCATGTGCTCGGGTCCGGTTGCCTTGTAGACCCACAGCCGCATCGAAGCTTGATTCGGCTTACGGCCGTGTCCCCCACTTTTGCTGGCTGCGTGGCATGCCTCCGTCTTAACGGCGACTGGCCCAACTCTATCTCTCCTCATTGGTAGGAGGAATGCATTATGCATGGAACATGGTAAAGCACTTACTTGCCGACAGACTGCGACCTTGCTCTGCAGCAATAGCAAGAGAACCCTGCAGTATGATCGCCGCCATGCAGACACGACAACACCGATTTCTACGGACTCACACGTCCTCGGTCAATCGCGACAAACTCAAATCAACCGTGAAATGAGCTGGACGAGTCCTCAACCTCTGCACGCGCGTCCCATCGACGCCTTCACGGAGGACTTGATGCCTCATTGCATAAGCGCTCGAGTCCTCCCAGGACCGACTGGCTATGAGCGCTCCAACACATGGCGGTCCTCATCTCCTGTTATTGCCTCCAAACCTAGATCAGCAACATGTCTCACTTTCTCCATGCATGCTTTTCCGGTCACCGCGAGTCCTTCTCGGCGACTAAATTCCGGTGAGTGTAAGCGATGTTGCGAAAAATCGAGATCGGCATACCGGTGAGTAGTGGACGTGTCAACCTCGCGGGTGGGCGAATTTCGTGTGTGGTATGCGGCTCAACTGGGGCTCGGAAGTAATTCCGGATGAAGATGGGAATGGAAGAATTCCGCCATGTTCACAGCAAGCGGAGGAGGAATTGGTGTTCACTTTAAGAAGCTTTCAAAGTAAAGATGCATGACTAACTCCAAACTACCTGCTTGCTAATGCGCTCCAAAAATCGTGTACGAGTACAATGAGACAACGACTGTGCCAGACAGTCTAGATGGGAAGATAAGCACCAGCTGAAAAAGAGAAAGCGTACCAGCCAACGAGGCTGCAGCGAAAATCCTCCAACATTCCGTTGAGTGTGAGAAATGACACCATGACCGCCAGGATCGTAGGCTGAGGTGAACCCAAAGATGACTGCCGAAAAGATAGACGCCTGGGGCTGGAACCCCTCAGCCGGCCCCCAAGTGCCCTAGGTAAACATTGCATAAATATAAGGAAACCAATTCTTCTCTCATTCTGTATCGTAACCTCGTGTTGTCCTTCGTTGCGATGTTTCGTTATTTTCCGTTAAATCGTTGTTGTCCATATTGCCTGTACTCTTCATACAGTTCATCCTTATCGTAAACCGCTCCGTCGCTCCTAACGTAACCGACGGCGTTGTAGGGCTCGGAACGCGGGTATTCAGCTTCACCCAGATGAGCACTGCCACTGGGAAGCTGGTATCGATATTGTTCCCGGTCCGGCTGCGCACGGCGGTCTGCGGACGAAGACGAGTGAGGCGGCGGCGATGAGTGGAAGTCGCTCTCGGATGATTGGTAGGGAAAGACGCGCAGATGAGAGGACGAGTGATCTGTCTCAAACTGATGTAGGGCGTTGGAGGCGCGAGGCTGTTGAGCTTGAGTTCTTGACGGGGGCGGTGCACCGTTTTGAGCAGAGTCGTTGGTCACGCCGTTCGAGTACGGGTGAGAAGACCAAGGGCGATAGACTTGTGCGTACGTTGGGTCTCTACTTGGATCGTAGCTATGGGTTCGTGTAGTCGGGGCTGACGCGCCTCCTCCCCAGGTAGACTGCGTCTTGTCAGCGGCGAGCTTCAATATAGATCATCAAGCTATCTCACGTTTGCGTATGAACTTCCACGAGAACTGCCGTTACCGCCGCTTCGGCCTGATCCGTTCGAGCCATGACCATAGTGATGCTGGGAGCCGCTCATCTTGTCTTGAGTGGACTAATAGGATAAGCAAGGACGAAAGGTGTTGCGTGTGACTCCTGAAAACGGAGTGAAGGGATGGGCTGGGAAGGCCTGGGTCAGGGGACAGCAGGTGGAGGGTTTAGACAAATACGGGAGCGCGTGATTGGTGGATGAGTCTGCTTGCAGTCACTCAGACCGCAGCGGGAGACTAGTAATAGAGTAGAGAAGATGACCAAATAACGGATGTGGTGGTCGGATTTGGGGCGTGAGTAAAGAGTCACGCTGTGGTATTCGGGTGGGCGATATTTAATACTATTATCAAAGGGTCCTTCACCTCGTTCCTCTCGAGTCCAGTCTGCCCCAGGCACCCATGCATTACGCCCCGTGCCCCTCAAGCGTCCGATACGCCTCCAGCAGGGGCACATGTTACGCAGAACTTAGTTTGCAATTCCCTAGAGATTGTCCAGTCGAACCGTTGGTTTCCTGAGTCACGGTAGGCACGGACAGGTTCCTGCGGGAACGCGATAGGGCTGCAGGGTGGTTCTTGAGGAAAGGT